CAGAGTTGCAGATTCTGAGGCTCCTCACCGGATGCAGCGAGTTCAGGGACCACGCTGCTGGAAGGGGCACCAGGAATCGGCTTGTGCGGGATTCTGCGGCTCAGGCAGGTTTGGGAATCTCTGCGGAAGCTTCTGGAAGACAGGCACTGTCTTTCCTGGGATAAGAGGCGTGCGTTCTGGATGACTTCTGTGGAAAGAGAGCCTGAGTGATCCTGTGCAGACTACAAAGAAAGCAGTGAATGGAGGGGAGGGCAGGTCAGGGACGGGGTGGGGGTGGGGGGGGACTGGGACCCTGATGACAGCATCAGGCCACAGAACTTGTCTTTCGACCCTCCAGCTGTGACACCAATAAATCCTCGTTGCTGTTGAAGGCAACTTGAGTTGGGTCCTTGGTCACGTGCAGCATTGAGAGTCCTGACTGATAGATCTCCATTAACTGAGACAAGCTGGGTATGTCCGAATCCCTCGCAGCCTGAAATTGCCTGATTTATAAAGTATCTAATGATTTTTCCAAGACAAACCCCTGTCTGCCTCCCTGGGCTGTATCCGATTGCCTGCTATTTTTTTTCCTCTCGAAATGAACTGTCAAAGCAAGAAGTATGTCCTTGGGGTGCACCCTCCATGTTAGTGCAAGAATTATGAGTTTCGGTTACTCTTCATCATGAAGCTCTTGAATAAATTTGGATTCAAAGATTAAAGGCATAGCCAGGAAATCTTTCTTGTGCTTTAACTGATATCTGGCTTTGTTCATTTGATCATGCATTTGACAAACATGTGTTGAGGGCTCACCATGAGCCTGGTGTCTTACCAGACCCCTTCTCTGCCCTCAAAGAAGTTATAGGTTAATGGGAAAGATAGATGTGAAACCAATTAAAACACTAACCACCAGGTGTACAGATAAAGAAGACATTTTGTGTTTGGATAGGTGCTTGAAAGATAAGTATGGAAACTTCTAGAAGGCATTGCAGATTTTTCTAACCTATGTGAAATTTAGAAAAGACCTTTCTGGAGCTGGTGCTGTGGGCATAGCAGGTGAAGCTGTTGCCTGCAGTACTGGCATCCCACATGGGCACCGGTTCGAGTTCTGGCTGCTCCACTTCCCATCCAGCTCTCTGCTGTGGCCTGGGAAAGCAGTAGAAGATGGCCCAAGTCCTTGGGACCCTGCACCCGTGTGGGAAACCCAGAAGAAGCTCCTGGCTCCTGACTTCGGATTGGCTCAGCTCTAGCAGTTGCAGCCATTTGGGGAGTGAACCAGTGGATGGAAGACCTTTCTCTCTCTCTCTACCTCTGCCTCTCTGTAACCTTGCCTTTCAAATAAATAAATAAATAAATAAATCTTAAAAAAAAAAAAGAAAAGGCCTTTCCAAGGAGCTGACTTTAAGTCGAGAATTGAACAATGAATAGCTGTTCATCAGGAAACCGTGGGTATCAGGGTATTCCAGGCAAAAAGAGCATCATCTACAAAGGTGTTGAGCCATGGAAGAGCTCGACCATCTGAGAGCCTGGGAAGGGCCAGTGTAACCAGTGAAGTGATGAGGGGGAGCTCTTAGGGGGAGGATGGAGAGACAGGAGGGGCAGCACTGGTGAGCCCTGTGATAATCCACATCCCATTCCACACTTTATCCCAGGCACAGTGGGCATCCTTGAAGGTGGTGGTGTGAGGCACGAGAGTGACGTGATCAAAGTCGTAATTTTTAAAAGCTCTCTCTGTTGTGTAGAGGATGGGTGGGTGAGGCCAAGTGTAGAGGCAGGGAGAACGGTCAGGAGGTGTCCAGGGGTCCAGGCCAGAGTTCCTGGGCCTGTGCAGTTCTGATGGTGGTTGCAGGGTGGGGACAGCAGAAGGAACTGGGACATCCACTTTTGGGTCCAGTCTCCAGGGCTCAGGAGAGGAATGGTGATGGGCGCGTTGGTGGGAGGGAGGGAGCTCTCTCGGGAGCCCACCAGCCTTCTGACTGAGCCGCGTGAGCAACTGGGGCCGGGCTGGCTGGTGTTGAGGGCTCGTTCCACGCTTCGTCTATGTGGATGTTTCATTTTGCCAGCACAAGTAGACATTCCATCTTCCTGTGGCAGCTGATTGATCAAGACAGATTTTGCCAAACCCGTCTAGAGGGCATGCAGATGTGGGAAACCAATCCGACTCCCCTGTGGGAGGGCAGAAGCAGGACGGAAGAAGAGACAGTCTCCAGGAGCGGTTCCTCCATGCTACTTGTCATCGTCATAGTCTGGCTCTTCGTCCCCTCACATGTGGCCCTGTGCAAAACCTCTGTCTCCAGCTGATGTCCCCAGCCCCAGCCAGGCCTGCAGGGAGCAGCTGTGGCCTCGAGGGAGTAACCAGACCTGGCAGCCCTCAGCGTGGGGGGCATCCGGGAGGCCCAGTCTTTATATTTAATTTCTTTAAGGTTTTCATTTCCTTGGCCTCTGAGTACTGGTGGCATCTATGTTTCTATTTTTTTTTTTTTTCAGTTTGTTAACTTATTTTTCAACAAACTGTGTAGGGGCTGGTGTTATGGTGCCGAGGGCTTAGCTGCCTCCTGCGACACTGGTGTCACACAGCAGGGCGCTGGTTGGAGTCCTGGTTGCTCCACTTCTGCTCCAGTTTCCCATTCATGCTGGGAAGGCAGAGGAAAGTGGACCTGGGGCCCTGCTACCCAGGCGAGAGACCAAGGTGGAAGTTCAGCTTTCTGCCTTTGTCCTGGCCCAGCCCTGGCAGTTGCAGCCATTTGGAGAGTGGAGCGATGGATGGACGGTCTCTCTCCATCTGTCTCTCCTTCACTCTCTCTCTAACTCTGCCTATCAGATTAATTAACACATATTTAAAAAAAAACTTGTATAAGATGAATTTTTAGGAAAAAAGGACACATTGATGATCCCATTACCCAAGTTCAACCATGATCTTTTTAATTTAATTTTGCCTATAATTCCCCAGTCCTCACTACCATAAATCAATGCACGAAATTCTTATTAAGCACTTACCACATGCCTGGCGCTGTATCAGGTATACAGACGCAAACAAAACAGACGAAAGTCAACAGGCACGCGTATTTCAAATAGAGTCTAACGTGCCATTTTCCGTCGTTAGGAATTTTAAGTGGTATTTACATTTTTCTTAATTACCGTTTAATGCCTGCCTGGCATGCCAGTGTGTTTAGGATGCAATTTATGAAAACAGTCACCAGTTGGGACCACAGGCCCTTTGTAAATACAGATGAGGGAGGGGTTTTCCCTGCTGCTCCCCTAGCCCCCAGCACCACAGACAGAAGGACGATGAGTTGGAATGCATCTTTGCCTCTGGTGTGGGAATACCGAGAATACCACCATGAATGTCTCGGCGCCTGGAGGCTTCTGTTGAATGATTTCCTGAAGCCAGATCTCTCCAAGCTTCCCCAGCGAAGTTCCAACAGCAGGGGGAAATGAATGAACGTGGACCCGGGGCTGTAAATGGTGTGCTAATATCTACACACATTTAAGTCGCATTAAGATGCCTTGCAGCCTGAACCATGTCTATAGTCCTTTCTGTTTATTTCTGTCCATCCTGGGGTGGGTGGAGGGGAGGCTGATGCTGACATGTGACCAACACAGCTGGCTCCAGATGCAGCCCAGCAGGTGCATCTGTGGGCCAAAGGGGACGCCTCCGGGTGATTACTGCTGCATGGTATCCTGTGTTTCCCTAGCATTATACAGACATTTTTCCTGCCATAAACATCATCATCTATGCAGGCAATTTTCACCTCAAGCTTGCCAGAGCTGTCTGACTGTGAGCTGGAATTGTGTCTTCTCAAAAGATCCTGAAGTTCTAACAACCAGGACTTGTCTACGTGTTCCTACCTGGAAACAGATTTTTAAAGAAGAGGTTACAGGATGGATCCCAATCCAACTTGATTGTTGTCCTTTCAGAAGGAGGGAATTGGGGCTGGCATTGTGGCATAGCAGGTTAAGCCACAGCCTCTGACACTAGTATCCCAAGTCTGGGCTGTTCCACTTCTCATCCAGCTCCCTGCTAATGTGCCTGGGAAGCCAGTGGAGGATGGCCCAAGTGCTTGGGCCTCTGTCACCCTTGTGGGAGACCTGGATGCACTTCCTGGCTCTTGGCTTCTGCCTGGCCCAACCCCAACCATTACTGCCGTTTGGGGAATGAACCAGTGGATGTCAGACCTCTCTGTGTCTCTCTCCCTCTCTCTGATTCTGTGCCCTTCAAATAAATAAATCTTAACAAAAAAAAAAAAAAAAAAGAGAGAGAGGGGGAGGGGAGGAATTGGGTTGCAGCTGCTTCAATTTTTTGTTTCATAACTCAAGAGAACAAACATTTTCCTCTGAGTCGGTTTGCTTCGCCTACTTTACTTGCCTGTTTTCCTGGAATGGTGTTTTCTCACCCTCGAGATAACGCCTGCATTCATTTGTGCTGTTTAGATGAAGAGTTAAAGGATCAAAGGAGAGCTGGTTGGCGTTGACTCAATGAAACTTGTGTCCAGTGTCGTCTGCTCGAAGAAGCAGCACTGTGTAACTCTGGTATTTCCAGCCGGCGCCCGCAACTGCTCTGCATTTGCTGAGACAAGAGCTGTGCAGCCCTTCAGCACTGTCTTCACCATCCTCAGCCCAGGCCCAGCTGTGGCCGCACGTAGGAGGGCTCCCTGCCAGCTTCAGAACCGAGCTCGGGAGACTAGATTGCACCAACCATTTACTTACAAGCCTGTGAAACGGGCAGTCTGAAAACTGATCCTACAGGAGGGTCTTTTTAAAATGTGTTGGAAAATAGAATTAAAAGGAAGTTTATCTGGGTGCAAAATATTTGGAAATCCATGCCTAGTTGTTTTTTTTTTTTTTTCTGGTTGTTGCTTTTCAAAAGGTCTCATGTATTTATTATTGCACCAACCCACTGGTCACAGCCCTCATCAAACGTGCAGCTGTCCAGACAATGGCGACACCTTCAGCTTGATGTGGTGAGAAAGACAGTGAGGCTGAGACAGCGGAAATATGTATGCCAGCCGTTCAAGTGCAATTCCTCATAGACTCCACCTGGTTCTTCTCCAGTGTCTCCTCTTGGAGTTATACCTGACTTTATTACTGGTTTTCATCTGAATCTGTTGGGGAATGGGATGGTTTTGCTTTTGTCTTTTGGCCAGGAATCTCTGGATTCTGAAGGTCTCGTGAGAAGACATGGTGCGGAAGAGTCAGGTGCACTCACCACGATGGCGGAGGGAAGGAGATGCCTAGTTTTTTAAATTTGAAAATGTGTACTGGGGCCGGCACTGTGGCATAGCAGGTAAAGCTGCCTCCTGCAGTGCCGGCATCCCATGTGGGTCCTGGTTCAAGTCCCAGCTGCTCCACTTCTGATCCAACTCTCTGCTGTGGCCTGGGAAAGCAGTAGAAGATGGTCGAAGTCCTTGGGCCCTGCACCCACATGGGAGACCCAGAGGAAGTTCCTGGTTCTTGGCTTCGGATCTGCTCAGCTCTGGCTGTTGCAGCCAACTGGGGAGTGAAACAGCGGATGGAAGACCTCTCTCTCTCTCTCTCTCTCTCTCTCTCTCTCTCTAGCTCTCTCTCTGCCTCTTTCTCTGTGTAGCTAACTCTGAGTTTCAAGTAAAATAAATAAATCTTTTTAAAAAAGAAAATGTGTATTGATTTTTATTTGAAAGGCAGAGACTGAGAAGAAGAAGGAGGAGGAGAAGGAGAAGGAGGAAGGAGAGAAAGAGAGAGACAGAGAGAGAGAGGGAGAGAGAATCTCTTCCACTCACTGATTCACTCCTCAAATGCCTACAACATCCAGGGCTGATTCAGGCCAAAAAATCCAGGTATCCTACACGGGCAGCAGAGACCAACTACTTTGCGCCATCTAAGGCTGTATATTAGCAGTAAGCTGGAATTAGAAGCAGAACCACGACTGAAACCCAGGCATTCCAATATGAGGTACAGGCATCCTGAGTGACATCTTAACCATGGTGACAAATGTGCATTCCTTTGCATAGCTTTCAAGTAATACACATTTTAAATGAATTTTTGAAGGCCCTTTGTATGCATGGATTTGATAAATTTTTGTATCAAAATAAACTTATTTTTATTCCATTTTCCATGAACTTTCTGAAGTACTATGGTATTTTTTCTTTTTTTTTTTTAAATATTTATTCATTTACTTTAAAGGTAGAGTTAGAGAGAGAGAGAGACCTTGCATCCTCTGGTTCATTCCCTCAAATGGCCGCAACCAGGCTACACCGAAGCCAGGAACCAGGAACTTCTTCCAATCTTCCACATGGGTGCAGGGGTCCAAGGACTTGAGCCATCTTCTACTGCTTTCCCAGACACATTAGCAGGGGGCTGGATTGGAAGTGGAGCTGCCAGGACTTGAACCAACGCCCATATAGGATGCCAGCACTGCGGACCGTGGCCATGGCACCGGCCCTGGTATTAGTTATTTCCAATGGTAGCCGCTGTAGCAAACACATGTTTGAGCTGAGGTTTACAGCTCATGGACAAAGTTGGATGCGAATGACGCGGCCCTCTGCTTAGTCACAGCCACCTTGTCTGCAGAGGAGGAGAGAGGCACAGGCCTCCAGACCAGGAAGGCGTCACACCTGTCACCTTTGCCTGCAGATGCACCTGCAGCATTGGCCAGCATTGGGCACTGACTGGGGGTGGGGTTGACAAACTGGAGAGGAGTGAGCAAGGGCAACATCTCTGCCAGGTTTTACTGAAAAGCGATCAGCCAGTTGAGTATGGGTACAAGGATATTCTCAGTGGAAACTAAAAGCAGCCTTGAAAAAACTCAAGTTTTCACAGTGACAACATGACAGCTGTCCATTTCTGCCATTGAAGCCATCCTCTTGTTTCTTTGAGGACAGAAGCAGGGACAAACTCAACCTCCTGGCCAGCTGGCAGCCACGGCCAAGCCTCCACACGAAACCAAACCAACAAACACATGCGTGGATAGCTGCCTGGGTGGGACTCAGGCTTCTTAGAGGGGGCTGCCCCTGTGGCTGGGATGGATGTGGCTGAAGTTAGGATTAGGGATTTCCCAGAGCCCTAATCTGTGGCTTTCTGACCACTTATTTTCCCACAGGGGCTTATTATCAGCTGTGCTGACCGCAAGTAACCATTCGGCTGGCAGAAAGGAGATTTCTTTGTGTTTTTAAAATTTTTTTCTTTCATTTTTTAAAAAGATTTATTTTATTTATTTGAAAGGCAGAATTAGAGAGAGAGAGAGAGAGAGAGAGAGAATCTTCCATCCACTGATTTACTCTCCAATGGCTGCAGTGGCCGGAGCTGGGCTGATCCAAAGCCAAGAGCCAGGAACTCCATCTGGATCTCTCACGTGGGTGCGGAGGCCCGAGCCCTTGGCCCAGCCATCCTCTGCTGCCTTCCCAGGTGCTTTAGCAGGAAGCTGGATCGGAAGTGGAGCAGCGCTTATTCGGGACGCCTGCATTGCTGTGTCACAATGCTGGCCCCAGTTCCAATATTTCCTATGAGCATGGTCACAACCCCCATTAGGGAAGGCTGAGAGAGAACAACCAACAGAGGGCCACTCCAACTCCACTCAGGGCCCTTAAATAGCAGGAAGGCTCATTGCTGCCAGTGTGCTGAGGGAAGACATCGTGAGACAGTTCAATGCTGTCGCTCTGGAATTCGAGGATCCTCGTGCCTTGTTCACTAGGCTGTGGCAGGGAATCCCCGATAAGTGTGGCGTGGAACTCTGCATTAGGACCCCGCTGGCACTGCTGCCCACACTGCTGCCCAGAAATTGCTGCCCAATTTCTTTCTGTTACATTTTTAAAAAGGTTTATTTATCTGGAAAGCAGAGTGACTGAGAGAGAGAGAATCTTCCATCCACCGGTTCACTTCCCTAAATGGTCACAGCCATAGCTGAAGCCAGGAGACAGGAACTCCATCCAGGTCTCCCAAGTGCTTGGGCCAATCACCTGCTGCCTTCCCAGACTCCAACCGGCACTCGGATTCGGGCTGACAGCATTGCAAGCGGCAGCTTAACCCACTGTCACAATGCCGGCCCTGAGAAGAGAGTTTTAGAAAGCCTGCCAGGTCAGAGCCACAGTACAAAATGATGGATCACCTTGAATGGCAACAGCGAGGCTTTGCTGGCCAATAGCTGCCCTGTATCTCAGAGAGCAGAGGCAGGCTCCCAACGGCGTGGGCACTGGCAGGGAATCCGTGATCCTCAGCCTGAGTGATGGCGGAGGGGGATAACTCTTAGCCCCACACCCACACCCTGAAGGCTGGGGCTCCCCGCCAACGGGAGTCACCACCCCACAACTCCTCCCCCTCTGACGACCCCTCACTGGGGACCCCTTGCTCAGCCCAGCCCTCAGGGACCAGCCTTCTCAAGGACACCTCCAACAGTTTCCTGGCCTTCTGCCTCTCTGATCTGGAAGCCTGGCACTGGACATTCTGTAGAACGTTTTACTCTTTTCCTCCTCCCTCCTGGGAATTAGCTTGGCCAACGCCAGCACTGTGACACAGCAGGTTAGACAGCTGCCTGCAATGCAGGCATCCCGAATAAGCGCTGCTCCACTTCCGATCCAGCTTCCTGCTAAAGCACCTGGGAAGGCAGTAGAGGATGGCTGGGCCAAGGGCTCAGGCCTCCGCACCCATGTGAGAGATGCCACTGCCTGCGACTCCAGCATCCCCTATGGAAGTTGGTTCAGGTCCTAACTCCTCCACTTCCCATCAAGCTCTCTGCTAATGTACCTGGAAAGCCAGCAGAAGATGGCCCATGTGCTTGGGTCCCTGCCACCCATCTGGAAAACCCAGATGATGTTCCTGGTTCTGGCTTCAACCTAGCTCTGCCCTGGCCATTGTGGCCATCTAGGGAGTGAACCAGCGGATGGACAATCTCTTTGTCTTTCTTAAAAAAAAAAAAAAAGAGGGGCTGGCGCTGTGGCACAGCGGGTTAAAGCCCTGGCCTGAAGCACCGGCATCTCATATGGTGGAGTCAGTTTTCAAATTCACAGTGGTGGGGGCAGCCCAGCAAGGAGTCACACAGGAGTAGCCGAGCTGCAATTTTTGCCAGCCCTGCATTATAAATTTACCTCTTCACCTGTCAGCTTCATATGACCACCTTCCCAGGGTGCACCTGTAGATCTCATCTGGGACCAGGAGGGAGAAGACGCCACAATGACCGTATGGGATTTTTTAAAAAAGATTTATTTACTGGGGCAGGCGCCATGGCTCACTTGGTTAATCCTCTGCCTGCGGCGCCGGCATCCCATATGGGCATCTAGTCCTGGGTTCTAGTCTTGGTTGCCCCTCTTCCAGTCCAGCCCTCTGCTGTGGCCCGGGAAGGCAGTGGAGGATGGCCCAAGTGCTTGGGCCCTGCACCCTCATGGGAGACCAGGAGGAAGCACCTGGCTCTTGGTTTCGGATCCGCATAGCAGGCGGGCCGTAGCGGCCATTTGGGGGGTGAACCAATGGAAGGAAGACCTTCGTCTCTGTCTCTCTCTCTCTCACTGTCTAACTCTGTCAAAATAAAAAAAAAAGATTTATTTATTTATTTGAAAGTCAGAGTTACACAAACAGAGAGAAGGAGAGACAGAGAGAGAGAGAGAGAGAGGTCTTCTGTTTGCTGGTTCATTCCCCAATTGGCCGCAACAGCAGGATCTGCTCCGATCTGAAGCCAGGAGCCTCTTCCAGGTCTTCTGTGTGGATGCAGGGACCCAAGGACTTGGGCCATTTTCTACTGCTTTTCCAGGCCACAGCAGAGAGCGGAATTGGAAGTGGAGCAGCCAGGACTTGAACCGGCACTCATATGGGATGCTGGCACTGCAGGCGGCAGCTTTACCTGCTACGCCACAGCACCAGCTTCTCGTGGGATTTGGGATTTAATTCCACTTGGAGGCACCGTACAACCCCAGAAGGCTTGCTCTCTGGCTTCCTCCCTATCCTTCTAGGCAGCTCTCTGGGTATCTCTCCACCTTAGGTGGCCCGCACTCACACGTGAATACATTCTCATTCTCTCTCTCTCTCTCTCTCTCTCTCTCTCTCTCTCTCATGAATAGATCCTGCTCTCACTTGTGCACTATTTTTATGCCTCTGTTTTGAGCTCTTATCTCTGTGGGGGTCAAGAAGCTGCAGTAAGATTAAGGTTCACAGGCCCATAGCAGCAGGACACTGGGATTAGAGAACCTGGCTCCTGTCTTACAGATGAGGGGTTTCA